TTACATAACGGATTAAAGTAAATTAAATAAATATAGGTAATAAATCGATTATGTTCTACAATAAGTTCAATAGCTATTTTAATACTGAAATTGGTCTATGGTTGTGCTTAATTTAACTATAAGATCATTAAACTTCTTTTTTTTATAAACGAATATGTCTCTGTGCATTTGTTTTTACTTAATGCGCGGGTGAAGAGTAACTTTTTTTTTTTGGCTAGCGCAAGAGTTTTTATCTTACATACCTACATTTTCCTATTGCTTGCGAACTAATGAAATGACCTCCCCGACTTTAATGAATTGAAATAAATTTATCGTGCCGAAAAATATTTATTATGTGTGATCGGCAATTTCCTCAGAACACAGAATAAATACCGCTGTGTTTTGTTTTATTACTGTACATTTATTTTTCGTTTCTTTTTTTTGAATTTTAAAAAGCATTTCTGCCTACGAATCTGTTTTTACCATCTCCAATGCTTTAGAAAATAATATCTTTTTCTTTTATTTATTTTTTTATGAAGATGGTACAAGAGTTATAAGAACAAATATTATATACCTAACTATGAATTATTCCACAGAATTATTAAAATATTCTTTGTAAGTAAATATAGTTAAAACGAATTCATTGAATTCTATACGACAACCAAAATATTTTGCTTGAAAGCTTTCTATCACTAAAAAACCTGATTAGTTAATGAGATGACAAAAAGTTTGTATGTTAAATATAGATGATACGGGTTATAATAATTTTCTATATCTTTCTACGTTTCATATTTTTATAAGGTATCGTTCCTCACCTCAAAAAAAACATATCCCTTCTAAAATCACAGCCGAAACTACATACTATTTGTTTAAATAATATTAAAATCGCTGACCTCATTAGGGGGGGGGGTTTATTTAAATAATTAAAAAGTATCGGAAACTATATTGTGGACTTATAATAATACTCTAGTTTTTTTTGTACTTATTTTTACGTTGGTGAAATCGGACATCAGACTGTATTGATCAGTGTGTTTTCATTTCTCTTTACTACAATCGTTTTGTATAATAGATTTACTATATTCTATTACTACTTACTACATAAAACACTGTATGCCGTAGCATTTTGGCGGTCTCCCAGAAATGTAATCACAATCACAAAACTTTAAAGAAAGTCACTTTTCACCTAACCATTTATGAATATTGACAATTAATTTTATCTCGAGGAAAAGAAAAAAAGCTTTTCAACGACCAAACTTTCCAATGGCGCGCTATTTACTACTCTTTTCAATACAATTTTTTTTAGGCAAGGTATTATTAGGTATTGCGTTGTGTATAGCCTGCGCGTCGTTGCTTGACTGCTTTAGCGGTCCGCGGGAGAAAGAACGGGAACTTGTGACGATTCGGTGAGAGGACATCATAACGAGCTGTATACCACTACCATGAGTCACTGGTCCGAAACCACATTCCTATTTGAAAAATATCCAGCTAATGCATATACATATTTCTCTAATAATACCTATATTTTATTGTTAATAATAATTGAAAACTAACAAAATTTGGTACGGAGATCAAATACATGTTATGTATGAAAGTATAACAAAATGAATTATTTCGGTTAAGAACATTTCTGGTAGATTAACATATTTAAATACTTATATGCTGTTGAAAATTCATGGTAGTGGTGTTAAGTGCTTCGTTAGAACCGGGAAAGTTTTATTTTGATCGAGCATTTGTCAAATGTCATTAAATAAGTGAAATATTATTAAAATTGACACCGGCCTTTGCCTCCCTGGCCGGGTACGGTAAATCGATTTGCATAGGAATTCATTGGTATTTGATGATAATGTTAACTGTATATTCGCATTTCTTTTAGATTACGGTTCTTATGTTTTTGGGAGATATAAGTGATCTTTTTATTTTATATAGAAATATTTTTTCATAGGTGCTTAATCTATAAAAATATTTTATAAATAGATATAAGAGTTTATTTGTTAGTTTGCATTGAATAGGCTTCCAAACTACTGGACTTATTTTAAAGATTGTTTCTTCTACGGGAAGCTACATCATACGCAGGTGACAAGACTATAAAGCTATTATGCTACGAGATATTCAAGCTAAATTTTATTCATTAGATAGAGATAGGTAAGAGAAGTAAAGAAATTAAAGAGTTATTGTGAACGATTTAAAGCCAATCTAGAAGCGAAAGGAAGTTTATTGTTTATGTTTTAATAAGTTATATGAATGGAATAATATCAAATACTGACAGTTTTAATCATATTAGACACCTACAATCTAATCTAACTTAAACCTACAAATCTAACGAAACATTATAAACTGGCGATGTTTTACGATTGGGTATATTTTATCACGTTGATACTCGTATTATAAACATTTATTGTCCCTCTACATTTTTAAACCAAACATTTTGCTACTGACTTGTCAGATACATGTAGGTATTATGGTGCTCGTAATATTAAAACTAAATACAAAAAAGTGTTATAAATTTCTTTGCGATTATGTGCTGCATCATAGTTAGTTGTAGGTTTTATCAGCTCTATAGATGGTTGCTGGCGGCAAGGCCGCGACGGTTTCGACTATGGTTGCCAATCGTTTAATATATTATATATATTTCTGATACCTATGCGCGATTTATATTGTCGAAGAATACTTCAAGTTCAACAAGACATAAAAGTCATTGACATAAATAGGTCGATGTTTATTTCCATTGCGTTGAAATCATTTTGTTTAACTCTACTTAGGCACACATTTTTCTTAGAAAAAGTACCTACTACAAAAATAACTACTAACTCATGTTAGCTGCGATACTAATACCTTATAAACGACATCTCACTAACCAGGTGATTGCAAAATTACCTCAAATAATAATCTATGTTAATAATTTTGACGAATGCCATTTTACTGCATTATAGAAAAATACTATTGAATATCATCGATCGAATGTGCGAGGTATGTATTTGTTGCAACCCTGCAGCGTAACTGGCGCAGCCGGTGGCGGCGGTATTACAGCGTGCGTGGTGTCGATGGTGGCCCGTGTCTGACACACTTGTCGTCATTAAGACCAAGCAAGAGTGTAAGACTCGTGGCGCCACCATTGAGACTCGCAAACCAGAGACACGAACAAATCTAGTAAACGCAATTAATCCAAATAGAACGCGCCGAAGCAAGCGATTAAAAGTATTTATAGAATTTTTGTATGAAAACACGATATGTATGAAAGTGAACCTTTACAGAATATAGTTTTTTTTCTGTTCTGTGGTATAGCACCTTTGCTGTTCATATAAAACGGCCTGTTGTATAGAAAACAGTGTTCTGACTTGTACTTAGCTTCTGAACAATTTTTGGATAAGTTGGAATCTTTTCAGATTTAGGTTCGGCAATTAGTTATTTTTTCCATTAAGTTAAGTCAATCGGTCCCACTATTGTCAAATAAAGCGATTGAATTTTTTCTAAAAAGTCAGATAACACGGATAATTTTAAGTGTAATTAAACGACATGGCAAAAATGTATAATCTGTCTTCATACTTGAAGAATAAAAGTACTGTATTTATAATATAAAAATTATTATAGTATGAGTTTTTTCAAATGATATACCGGAACAGAGTTAACAAATAGCTAAATGAATTGCACTTGTGTCAGAACTAGACATGAAAACATTAAAATGGGATATTATGAACAAGGTTGAGAGCAAGACCATGACGAATACATTTCCATAAAAATCTGTTACATTTAAAAACAAATTCAAAAATACGTGACATAATTCCTCCAGTTATTTTGATGTTTTCTATATCAAATAAATGGATTTTTTTTTATTAAACGAAACTGCATTATCGATTATGATGAAAATTTAATGGAACCACCCGTCATGAGTAATAAGGCTTTGGAATATACTTAAGGGAATTTTGAAAGTAACCAGCCAAGTGAGAGTCCGATTCGCGCACGAAGGGTTCCATACCATTATCCATTAAAAAGTAAAAAAAATATATACGTTTGTTGTTTTCTATGGAATTGTCATCCCCACTTTACATGTAGGGGAGATAACCTAAAAAAAAATGATTTTTTTACTACTTTTAATTTTAATTTTACTAACTTCACATACTTAAATAAAGATGAACATTTGATAAAGAAGGATGATTATAGATTTGATAGCAGCGTTGCCAACTTAGTCGTTTATCCACATAAAAGACATGTCAAAAAAGTAAAATAAATGAAATAATGCTATAACATAGCGAAGATGTAGGATCCTATGGCTAGAGAGTTAGGAAGTCACAGGATCACAAAAGGAGGGAAACAAAGGATGCCTAACCTAGACAAAAGGTAGAGCCCTAGTACGAAAACGGAATGAAACAATGTGTCTTATTGCGTTAACATAAGATAGTATACAGTATGACGTCTTTGTTATTATCATTGAGTTGGCTTTCCCGTTTTATATTTTAAATAATTTTTCCTTATTTGTTTCCTTATCAATTTTTTAAAGAGTGATTAATATGTCAATCAAACAAGTAGCGTAAAATGACATAATATCCTTATTATTAAAACTATATATATGATTTAAATTAATTATATATAGGAATCCATGAAACACAACAACATTGCTCCTACAGGCAATATTGCAATTGACTTCACGGATGCATATTCTTTTTTTTATATTTTAAAAGGATTTGTTTTCCTGACGCATATAATTAAGTAATGAAAAAACACGATTGTATAATCAATTAGTTAGGTACCTACCTTATATGAAAAACAGATTCATATACTTAAATCAAGCAAAATATAATTAACCTGCTTGTGTATTACAATTAGTTATTGATACATATTCCGTTTGAACACTTATGAGCGGATCTAAGCGCTCCATGAAAAGAGATGTACGACAAACATGATTCAATATTTTTCCTTATCATTCTGTTACATGTCTCAAAGAAGGAAACTTACAGAGACTCATGATTTGTTGTTTTGAGTCATCTCTATCGTAATAAAAGACGGCGTGGGATGCTTGTGCATTCAGTGTGAAATAAATAGTTAGGGTGTACGGTGTATAATACAATAAATTTAGATTCAGATCAAAATAAATAAGTAGAAAACATTGTGATTTCTAATGTTGAGATTGTTGGTGCTTGTTGCGGCGCTGACTTTCACGTGCGCGCACAAGGGTCATAATCATCATGGACAGAGCGGCAGTACGGGTCAGTTATCCCGTATTTCTCTTATTAAAATTTAAATAATAAATATTTTAATATATATATATATTAAAATATTTATTATATATATTGTTAATAATATTAATATATTAATATTAAAATATTAATATTAATATAATATTTATATATATTGTTAATAAGTTAATAATATTAATATATATTAATAATATTTTAATATATTACGGCTTATAAGTTTTTTTAAATGGCGTTAATATTTAAAAGTTACATAATTATTTATGTTACATTATGTAGATATTACAATATCTTCTATTTTACTTTTAAATTAATGAATATATATATTCATAATTTTAAAATTAAAATATAAATTAAAATTTAATTTTAAAATAGAAGTGGTCAAGTAATAAAACGATAATATAACTATGCAAATATAACGGTAATTATTGATGTTTCTGTAGGTACTTATCTCGACATCCACACTTACTTGGGTTCTTAACTCTATATTTCCGTTCGTTGACATGCCGGTTAACTATTTCAATTGAAATGGTGTACTAAATTTATCTTAAAAACATGAGATAAAAATGTTATTGTTTAACGATATCAGATAAAAACCAATACACAAACAATAAAAAGCCGGAAAAAAGCGAATCGGTATCGCCCTCCACACAAATATATATTTTTAAAAACCATTGATTTCTTATTCCAGTAAAAAGCTCACTTAATTTTGGAGTCAATTTTCTTAAATAACTAAATATTTTTTTTTACATTTTAGAGCCACACTAGAAGCCATTTCATTTAAGATAGTCAATAAATCATTTTTTAAAGTTTCATACTTACCCCAGAAAAAAGGGCACCAAGTTTCCTATGGTCGTCTTTGGTTCCATTCAATCATTCTAGATTTGGTTCCATTCAAAGATTCTAGATACTTATCAAAAATGAGTCGACAAAACAACATCGCATAGTACAGCGACATGAAAACGGAAGATTTTTCTTTCAATTTTCAATAAAAATCTCGATAGTCCACTGCGTTGTTGCTGTACTGTAGCCAAATACGCAGGTTAGGATACCGTCTGACACAAATAATTATATGTTTTACTAGCTTTCCGCCAGCGGCTTACTCGCGTGGTATATTTTGCCTTTACCCTAATTTCACATCTTCGGAGTTGAATTTCTGAAAATCCATTCTTAGTGCTCACTTACATCATGAAAGGCAACCCTGTACCAAATTTTAAGTTTCCAGGTAAGTACAGTAGTTTCGGCTGTGCGTTGATATATAAATTACGTCAGATTTTCCTTGTATATAATCTAATAAGTATAGATTAACATTATAATACCTATTTATAAGTTTAGACTTCTGGATATTACTTTAAATCTAGGTTTTTTTTTCAGCAGAAACGTCCCCATCTAAAGATCCAGTTACAGTAACCCCATCAGGCCGCATTCGAGGGTCTTGGTTGCAGACACGGCGCGGAAGACGCGTGCAGGCGTACCGCGGTATTCGGTATGGCGCCCCGCCCACCGGTGAACTTCGATTCCAGGTCCTTACATAATAAAGTACAAAATATTTTATTAGAAATGGTTTTGCTTTACTCAAGGATTATAATTAATCTTTTCGTTTTGGAGATTTTTGTTTAATTTAGTTACCAGATTTAAATTATTAACGAATGCTAGTCTAATCGTCGTCTCAGAAACTTATAATAAGAATCTCATAAATTAATATATTACAATTATTACTGCCTTTGCACAAAGAACACAAAATGATGTTCTAATTTTATTAAGATGCTATTTATTATATATCATTAATCGCATCATTAATAAAAGAATTGAATAGGTTTCATCCGATTTTTTGATCTACGTCATATTATAAGTATCATGATTAATTAATTTTACTAAAATATTGGTATATTATCTATAACAGCCACCAAAGCCGATACTACAGTATACATCAGAAGTGGACGCGAGGACGGAGGGCCCTGCGTGTCCTCAACCAGTGATTGATCCTGATTACTATGTAGATGAGGATTGTCTGAGGTTGAATGTATATGCACCTGAGAAGAAACCGTAAGTAAGATTTAAGTACAAATAGTTCTGAATTCATGTCGAACTCCAGTTGCGGATCATACTTCTAGACTTGTTGAAAATTGACATCATAGGAAATGCTGGGAAGAATAGTAAAAAAGATCGTGACGTAATGGAAGAAGGCTTAAATTACATCTAAATTATTATGAAATAACACTTTTCCCATGCTAATGTTTCGATAATAGAGGAAATTTCGTTTTCGGATAAAGTTTTCGAATTCTAGCACATTTTGTTACAAACACTCCCTCTTTAAGAGGTTGCTTTTGTATCTAGTGTGTTTAAATGAAACCAAGAATATTACAATAATGTGATAGTACAAATAAAATATTCATATTTTTTACTCGTACAGATCTCTTATTTTGTAGTTAACGTATACTTAACACAATAAATTACATAAACACACAATAAATTGATTCCAAGAAAAATCACTAAAGCAATTTATAATGTGGTGCTCAGAAAAAATTAACCCTCATTATATACTCAGACCTGAGACAACGTAAAAAAATCTAGTGAGAATCTATGACTATATTGGCATTAAATAAAACATTTGTTTTAAGCAGAACGAAGCCGTTGCCTGTATTGGTATATATCCACTCGGGTGGGTTCTACTCAGCCTCTGGTCGCAGCGATATCGCGGGTCCTGATTATTTACTCGACAGAGACCTCATTCTTGTGACCATTAATTATCGACTCGCATCCCTCGGTAAGTTTGAATGATTGATCTTTTAACAAAACGATATTATTGAAACTTATTTAAATAATTTACAAGTATCATGTGGTTTGTATTCCAACAAAATAAGTTCAACTTGAAGTCTATTTCATTACAACTACACAAAAACAAGATTTTTAATGATTCTTATTATTTTCGTACCTTAAACAATTCAATTACACTCCAAAGGTTTCATAAGCACCGGTGATAAACATGCCCCTGGCAACAATGGCTTTAAAGACCAAGTGGTGGCATTGAAATGGATACAGCGCAATATTGCTGCTTTCGGTGGAGACCCCAACCTCGTCACCATTAGTGGCTGCAGCGCTGGCGGAGTTAGCGTCATGCTGCATATGGTCTCGCCGATGTCTAAAGGTTAATAATAATAATAATAATAACAACAAAAAATAATAATAATAATCTTTATTCAAACCAAAACATAACATTTTCTTATATATATAAATTAATAATGTTGCATTTTTGGTTACAAATTAGCACCTAAATTATTGTGAGCCCCTGACCCCCAAACTAGAATTAAATCTGTTTTTTGGAAGTCAGTGATTCCTCTTATCTCAATGAACATTTTACAACCATTGTTTATATATATATCGGTATCGGTAGAACTTTTGTGTGTAAACCTATGCGTGTGTGTGTGTGTGTGTGTGCGTGTGTGTGTGTGTGTGTGTGCGTGTGTGTGTGTGTGTGTGTGTGTGTGTGTTAGTGTGTGCGCGTGTTGCCTGTGTCGTATTTGTGTGCGTATATATATTCTATTTGGTTTGCCTACTTTAACATGTCCTCTGTTTCGTGATAGTTAAATGACAATAACAAATTTTCGATAAAGGTTTTCACAGTGAGCTTTGTATGCGAAAGTATTGGTTTAATTTTATTCACTCTATTGTACAGTTTTAAACTTAGCGCTTTGTATTGCTGTTTCGCCCACGAAGTCCGACATTTTATTTGATGACAAACAGGAGCTCCCGACTTCCTCATTGTTATTTTATGATCAAAAGGTATTGATGAATGTTTACGTAAAAGAATACGAAGTATCGACAGCTGACAGTATGTTCTTGGCTTACGCAATAAAACCTTAAGTACAGCCCTCTGAGCTCGTTCCAATCTCAAAAGGCTTGTTTTATTTGCCCCACCCCAAACCGAAATGCAATATGCTATTACTGACTGACACAGACCCTTATAGATTATAAAAAGAGTGTTTTGATCAACTGAACTGCACAGTCTCTTGAAGACATAAATCAACCTACGAACCTTTGCTGTGAGAATCTGAATTTGTACATGCCAGTCGAGTTTGTCATCAACGTACACTCCCAAATATTTGACACTATTCACAACTTTTAAAGGTTTGCTACTACATACACACGGATCTTTGTCATGACAGTGATGAATTTTAATGTCATCATTAGGTAGATCTTTAAGGTGCTTCTTGGAGATGTCAAATCGAATAACTTGCGTTTTATCTTGGTTTAAGGTAAGAAGATTCTCATCTAACCAGATCTTGATTTTTGCAAGTGCGCTCTCTGCATTTGCCTTTGCGGAGATCCAACTATCACCATAGACTAATAGTGCAGTATCATCAGCATACGTAAAAATGTCGCATTTCTCAAGAGACATGCGACACAGCTGGTCAATATATATTAAAAAGAGAGTGGGACCTAGTATGCTACCTTGGGGAACGCCATAACATATTAATTTTTCATCACTAAATAAAGATCCTATTTTTACATTTTGTGTTCGGTCTGTCAGGTAACTTGTGAACATATCTAATGTAAGGCCCCGTATACCTACCTTTTCAAGCTTGGCCAGAAGAATAGGCACAGAGACGGTATCAAAGGCCTTGGAGAGATCCAGGAAGACACCGTAACATTTTAACTTTTTCTCTATTTTTGAGACAACCGTACCGACAAAGTTAGAAACGGCGTCCTCCGTAGAAATACCACTACGAAAGCCATATTGGTTGTCAGACAGTATTTTTAATTTTGTCAAATATTGCACAAGTGAAGCATTAAGATATCTCTCCAGAAGTTTCGAGAAAGCAGTCAAAACGGAAATGGGCCTGTAATTAGAAAGGACATCCACGTCGCCCCCTTTATGAATTGGTGACACAACAGCTCTTTTAAAGGCACCCGGAAACACTCCCCTCTCTATGCATAGATTGAAAATATGTACCAGGGGCGGTGTCAGTGCACTGCAGGACTGTTTGATAACTCGAGAGGGTATTTCGTCCCATCCAGTCGCACAATCACTACGAAGTCCCAAAATCAGATCTTTTATTATAGACTCGTCTACAGGTAGGATGGCAAAGGAGCCACCTCCGGTGTTTGTTTCTTCAATATTACTCTGGGTCTGTTGTATATGGGGCAATATTTTAGAGGCAAGATTTTTGCCAATATTTACAAAATATTCATTCACACAATTCAACGAAGCTTTACTATCATTTTTAATATTGAGAAGTTCAACAGCAAACTTTTTACATTGTTTAGTGTTAGTTACCGTTTTAACGACATTCCATAAGGCCCTAGGATTATTTTTTGCCTTTTCAAACTGACATTTTTCGTAGGCAGCTTTAAGATTTTTCAAAAGTTTGTTGCAAAAGTTACGGTATCTGCAGTAGGTGATTTTTAAAATATGATTATCAGGTGAACCTCTCAATTTAAGGTGCATTGAATCGCGATTTCGTATACAACGTAGGATGCCAGGGGTTATCCAGGGTTTAATAATAACATTTTTACGAGATACTTTTCTAGTTGTTTTGTGCTTTTTGATTACAGTTTGTATAATGGTTATCAAATTGTTTGTCGCCAAATCTGCATTTGATTCTTTTAAAACTATGCTATAATTTGCCGTATCCAATTCGTGCTTTACGCCTTCGAAATCAATTTTACTAACTGTACCACAGGATCCATGTCTCTTTATTTTATTTTTAGTTTTTAACGATAAAGCTGTAGGATAGTGATCAGTGATCTCACTCTGCATGACTACTGCAACAGCTACAAGCTTTGTTTTTAAAAAGATATGGTCTAGGCAATTTTCTGATCTAGTAGGGTAGGTGCAGGCCGGAAGGAACCCCAACGACGACATAAAGGTAAGATATTCATCCGAATGATGGTCTTTATTATTATTTTCCTTTATGTCCACGTTGAAGTCTCCCATTATTGCGATATTAGGATATTTCAATGAATTAATTATAATTTCAAAACTGTTGTAAAATTTGTCAAGATTGTAATAAGATGGAGAGCGATATACTGCAACTATAGCAACATCACCAATACCACAAACCAAACAGTTAGCGTCAAAGATGTTTGGTTCACTAATTTGATAATTTAAGGAAGATCTTATATATATTACAACTCCATCATTTTGAATTGGATTATTCAACGTTTGATGGGCAGTGTAGCCTGTAAGAGAAGGGAGAGGACAAGCAGATCTCAACCAACATTCGGACAGTATAATAATGTCAAACTCTATTTTAGTTGCTATCAACGTGGCTAGAAAATTATCGTTAGGTTAGTACTGAATTACGTTATAGGTACAATAAGTAGGTGATGATGAAATGAACATTTTTACTCAAATATATCTGAGCATTTTTGATATTTCACAGGTCTATTTCATCGAGCGGTATCCATTAGTGGATCTCCAATCTCTCAAGTGGCCATCCGGCTGCATCAGAAGGAGCTAGCAGTAAAGCAAGCTCAGTTATTGGGTTGTCCCATCGATAGTTCTGAAGCTATAATCTCCTGTCTCAAAACAAAGCCTTGGAGGGATATCGGCAATTCACTCGACAACATGTTTGTGAGTACATATTTATTTAGCTCATAATAGCAATAGAACAAAATCTCGTCTTTCTATTAAGTTAAAGGGGTAATCTCCGAAATCCAAAATAATCTTAACCACTCTCTAAATGTCTTAATTTATTTAGTTGCTTATTATTATGTGTTAAAAGGTATAACTATGTAACAAGCTTATTTCGGGATTTCCGTAGACATTCGGCTATGATCCAGTGCTTCTTTGGGCGCCGATCGTCGAGCCTGATGTAGGGCAGGAGAGATTCCTCACAGAAAACCCCTTGGAGTCGGTACAGAAAGGCAGAATGCACCCTGTACCCTATATCATCGGTCAAACTACAAAAGAATTCTTCTGGAAGGCTTTCTGTGAGTATAACTTTTGCTTTTTTATCGTGTTTCTATGTTATAGAGTCAGCTGAACTTGTGGTTTTATGAGAACGATGGTCGTTCAATAACTTTTACTTCAAATATTTGAATTCTAATTATAAAAACATCAAGTTCTTTCAGTTGTTTCTATATAAAGTTTTCATCAAAGAGTCTGATACTATTTTCGATTGTAGCGATTCTGGGAAATGAAAATTACACAAACATAATGAACTCAGAATGGGAAAGAATTGCTCCTGTGTCTTTTCTGCTGCCACCTGAGAAGTCCAAGGAATCAGCGAATCGTTTAAAACAAGCCTATTTGGGAGGAAAACCTTTGAGGAACGATTCGGTAACAGCTGACGGTCTTGGCAAATTGTATGGTGACTCAGTTATCGGATTTGGAGTTCACAGGTAAATATTAATTAGAATCAACTATTGTGTTACTTATAAGTTTGTACTAGCACAGATACACATAATTTCTCGTCTAGAAGTACTTCAATTTTTAACCGACTTCAAAATCCAAAAGGAGGAAGTTATATGTTCTACGGCGATGTATGTTTTTATGTATGTTCACCGATAATTGTTGACCGATTTTCAAAATTCTTTTATCGATAGCTTGATGGATCGAGGTTATTTAAATTTTATTGAAATCTAATCAATAGTTAGTTATCCTTTTATAACAAAACAAAATTTTCATTAAGAAAACAAAACATCATGAGTTAAAGTATGAAATTGCCGTTTTATTGTAATAGATTCCTTGAATTGACATAGAATCTTCATGGCTTGAGATTTTCGAAAGAAACTTTTTTCACATGGTTTCTATGATGTTCTTCTTTAAAAAATGTGAAACTTTTGAATTATTTAAATTCGAGTGATTTTTGAATACGAGTTCCGACGCGGAAGTAACGCGGCAGAAACAATCCGCAATATCAATGTTGCGTTTGGAGAGGGGTCTGCTAATGAACACACCGTGCGATTTTGGTGATAAAAACTTCACTTTGAAGAACGAGCTCGAGGAAGACCGCCCACACAGGTGAATAACGATGAATTAAGATAGATGGTGGAAGCCGATCTTAATCAAACTACCCAGGAATTAGAGTCATGGTTTAACGTTATTTTACCCACAATATTGACTCATTTGCGTCAAATCAATAACACAAAAAAATACGAAGAATGGTTGCCTCATGATTTGACTGATCTGCAGAAAGAAACGCGTGTTGAAACTTGTGTTGCCTTGTTGAATCGGTACAGGAATCAAGGAATATTGGATCGAATTGTGACATGTGATGAAAAGTGGATTCTTTATAATAACCGTAAAATAAAAATGCAATGGCTGACTCCAGGTCAAACGCCAATAAAAAGGTAATGGTAACTGTTTGGTTGTCTCAGCATGGTGTATTCACTATAGTTTTCTCCGATCTGGTCAAGCAATAACGACAGATGTCTATTGTACCGAACTTCGAACAATGTTGGTAAAAGTAGCAGTAAAATAGCTCCGACTCATGAATCGATCTTCACCATTATTGCTCCATGACAACGCGAGACCTCATACATCAGAAGAAATCGTTTTGTCCATTCAGGAACTGCAGTTAGAAAGCATTCGTCATCCTCGGTATTCGCCAGACCTTGCTCCAACGAACTACCATTTTTTTTCGTGATTTGGACAATTATCTACGTGACAAGAAGTTTTCTTCCCAGGAGGCAGTTTGTGCCGTTTAGATCCTCAGAGTTCTATCGCAAAGATATAAATGACCTTTCTATTAAATGGCAGCAATGTATAGATAATAACGGTAACTATTTTGATTAAATAAATATGTTAAAAATTAAAAAATAATCAATTTTAAATTTCAGTACAAATCGGCAATTTCACACTTTAACCTCTATTAAGTTTTTCACCATACACATATCCTTTAAATATTTAGATGATACGTATTGTATTTCAGGTGTGCTAAAAAAATGCGTATTTTGCATACATTTAAAATCCGAAAGGAGCATTTTCTATGTTTAAGGAGTATGTATATTTTTAATAGAACCTATGTCAATCGATTTCTTCTTGATTTGTGAACCAATCTCTACCAAACTAGCTCTCTCCCCGCGACACTTGCGCGCCTGCGTCAATTATAGCCTAAGTCTAACGTGTAATATGTAGCTTCCCGTATATGAAAGATTTATAAATCGGTCCAATAGTTTCTTAGCGTATCCAATGCAAACAAACAAGCAATCAATTAATTTGATTGTTTGTTTGAATTGAATACTTTTATTTAATATTTTTAGTGTTACATGTTATATTAAAAATAATAAAAAATAAAACCGACTTCCAACTTTAAAAATGTGATAAATAAATACTTATCGCAAAAGCAACTTATTCAAGAAAATGCTATTGAAATCGGGCGCCTATTATTTAATTAATAAAACTACAGAAGACCTACGCCCGTCTTCAATAGCATTTTCTTGAATAAGACACTTTTGAGATAAGTATTATTAATATATCAATTTCGTAGTCTACATGTTAATACGTCAATTTGAGCTAGATATATGATATTATAATGAACATTATGTGTGGCTGAAACAGACTAGCAAATCTCATGAGCCACCGATCACCTCACAAGGTTTTCTACTATGAGTTCGCGTACATCGGCAATCATAGCCACTATGAGGACCCTGTTACTGGAAAGCCAGTAGGTATGTAATATGTTTGTATGAACTTTATATTTTAATTAATTTTTAGATAAAGGGCACGGATGATATGTCTATCTATATATACTATAGAATAATCTGTTAGGTACTATAATACTTTGTAGCGAAAGTTATTGATGCATGTATATTAACTACTGATAGCATTTCTATAAGCAAAAAACAAAAATCTGGAGCTGAAATTAAATTGTGTGGCATAAATATTGAATGTATTTACTTATATTAAAACTAATGTTCAAGTTCAATAGTAAGTAAACCTGACGGTATATGAGTGTGCAGCAACTACTGACATTCATGCTTACTAAACGGATGTTTTATTTTCGTGTACGGAGAATTGAAGGAAGATGATCATAACTTTGTTGAACACTTATAGTCGTAAACCGTGATATATACATTTCTTAATTGCCTTTTAGGAGCGGCTCACCACGATGATTTAATCTATTTATTTGGACTCACTGCGAGTTTTCCTATCATCCCTCTTGGAGATACTCTGGATTCCGCTACTGTTGACCTCATGACCGGCATCATGTACAATTTCGCAAAAAATGGGTATGTATCGAGTTTTTGAAAAATTTGGTCTGATAAAAGTATAGGCCTCTATTTTTACATACGAGTTAACAACTCTACTACGATTCAAGTTTTTTTAAATGCTGATATGTAATCTAACGCCTTTTTATTAGAATAAATTCGAAAAAGTATTAAATTTTTGTTTAGTATTTTATCTGAGCGTATAGAAGTGTTGCTTCTATTAGACTTATCGAATGACACAATTGATGTAATTTCGTGCGTATATCTAGTTTATTTTTTTAATGGATCTAGTTAAAGGATATGCATTAATTGTGATCGTACACATAAAATGCCTAGAATAAGTGGTTTGCTTGTTGAACATTTGCTCTTTGAACATTAAGAGTAATTTTGTTCCAATTCTGATTAAATAAATGTCTAATAATTCGAACCTAAATCTAAAGGTTCTTAACAGTTTGGTTTAAGTGTGTGTATGTGAGACGTAATTTTTATCTTTCCAGTGACCCCAATCCTTTGGAAGGCGGTGGCCCCGTTTGGCCAGCCATGATTCCTCAGCGACGCCAGTTCCTGCGAGTGTCATCCCCTCCTACCGTACACGAGAATATGTTCGAAGATCGTTTCCGGGTTTGGGACGAACTCTATCCTTTGCAGTATTGATGATGGAGTTTTGAAGAAGTTAGTAAAACTCGAAGATCATGAATACAAAAATTTGGACCAATAAAAAGCTTTGAGAAATTACCTTGTTTATCTTATGAAATTTCATCATCATCACGAACTCTTTTACGTCCCCACCGCAGGTGCTCAGGCCTTCATTATGGATGGTTAAGGAAGTTGGGTCATGATCCTCCACACTGATTCTATGTACATTGGAGAGTATTAACAACGCAAATGCAGCCGGGACCAACGGCTAAACGCGCAATGCAATTTAATTAGTATCTATATTTAGGCCTCATTAACTGGACAGTTTCACAGTCACCTTCTTTAAAAATATTTTGAGGTGAGATGTCTCTATGGATGTCTTTACTTTTTCAATTAAAAACAGATTTATATTTTACCTTTTAATCTATACTAATATTATAAAGAGGAAAAATTTGATCGTTTGTTTGTATTGAATACAATCCGAAACGAATGTCTCAATTTTTATACAATTTCAATTTCTCTCAATACATCTATGAAAATAGGTATTATGTTCGCAAGAAAACATTACGATTCCTTCACAAAAAAGTAGTGTTCATAATCTTAACACAAGAAATAAAAAATAAACTTGCCGTTTCAAGCTTCAGACTTCAGAAAACCAGAGGATCATTTCTGAGTAAATGCGTTGCTATGTTCAATAAAGTTCCACCAAATGTAATTGACCTACTCATAAATAAATTTAAAATTAATGTAAAGAACATACTTATGAGTAAAGGCTATTATAAAGTTGATGATTATTTTAAGGATCGCAATGTATGGAATTAATAGCCTTCACTTTGTTCTATAACGACTAATTATATGTACAACCTATAACAGACTTTGAAAGCTGTATTTATTATTGTGATAATACAGATTATTTTGGTAATGACATGATTTATATAAATGTCATTACTTATGATAAAGAGCTGGTAAGTTTCTTTCGCTTGTTTTTCTTGCCAGCTAAAAGACGTCCTGAACATGTGGTAGGGTAAAAAAAAATTTTGTAATAAGCCTACTTGAATAAAGGTATTTTCATTTTATTGATAAAAGAATTCAACTGGAAATTGCACCATACGCGGGTGACATATAATTTCGCTCAAGTCGTGAGAAAACAGCTTTTTATGAAATTCATTGTTTTTTTTTAAATTTATTTATGATTGTTTCATTGACTCATCGTAGCCGAGTAATATTGGAGTTACATGATCTTTTGGCAATAGAGTTATTTTCTGGGAAGGATTAAAGAAAATAGAAATATGAAACTTGATTTTAGGGCTACTGATTAGTAGTTAGGTACCTTTTTTAGCAACTTTGAAAATTCCAACCATAAGGGGTTAATTCAAGACTAATATAGAACTTCGTATTTTTTTGATGTTAGTCAAGAAAATTTATTTTTGACCTACTTTTTAAATAAGTAACATATTCTAGCGTTTGTGAAAAAGTAGCGGTTGTTTCCTAATGGGTGTTGAAAGTTTTAATGTAAGAAAATCATACAATCCACTGGTTGTTTTTATATGTATGAAATGAAAAAAAATATCATGTTATATAAGATATATTTATAAACTTTTATCCTTTTTCAACAGGCGGTAGTCTGGTTCATCTAAAAGACACTATGGTGTTAAATTTGTAGAGCCATAGTCCATTGGGTATAATTCTTCCCAGAGTCGGAATCGCTCCTCGAACATTTTGGCGCGAACGCTTGGTGTGGCGTCTATGCGCATATACTGCCGCTTGTCGCTGGTCATGGCAGGCCAAACAGGTAACACACCCAACGCTTGCTCAACATCTGCGCCGCCGTTAGGATCTCTATAGCATAACGATCATATTACTCTGTGAGGTGACAAAAGAAGCTCAAAACTTTCAAAATTAACTATCTATAGGAAAATAATATTAAGGTTATTTTATGTTGTAAGATGTGTCAAAGCTGGTCTTTCCCTTCACGAATCAGGATACAGTTTAATAAAAATTAGGTAAGTATGTATTTCTTAACTGGTCATGATATGATTTGAAAATAACGTAAAAAATATAAACTAAAGTGCATTAAATATTACACTATGTCCTATCCTAGTCTAAAATTTCATAAAAATTTTACCTACAGCATACGAATCCGTTCATTTGAACTTGAAAGTTGAAGTTGAACTTGAAAGTAGTTGTTTTGTAATTTTACAAAACAAACAACTTTCATGTTTTTCTCTAAGAAAATATCGGTGGAAGTAAATAGTGGGAAGTCTCATTTGCAGAAATATATCACCAACCCTTTTACTTCCCCACTGCAGGGGCTCAGGCCTTCCTTATGGATGGTTAAGGAGGATGGGCCATGACCCTCCACGCTGGCCCAATGCGGATTGGAGGGTATTAACGACTGCAAATGCAGCCGGGACCAACGGCTTAACGTGCCTTCCGAAGCACGGAGTAGCTCGAGATAATAATTTTTGGTCACCCATCCCGTGACCGACCCTTGCGAAAGTTGCTTAACGATTACGATCGCGGGCCGCGGCGCTTATCCACTACGCCACCGAGCTACTCAGAAATATAATATCAGAAATATATAATACCTAATATATGTCGAATCACTAACCCGTGTTTAGCAAAGTTATACCACATGAGAGTCATGAGATCTACCATCCTGGAGTCGGGGTTGGAGTCATTGACCTCGATTGTAGAGAACCGGTAGCTCAAGGTGAACAGGTATATCAGATCGTCATGGTGTGCCGCACCTAAAACAACACAGCACAACACTACAGAGAAGACAATAAATATAACAAAACTAACGAAATAATGATGCCTTGGTAAAAAACTAATTTCATTATGTAGGTAACTTTAAGGTAACATTTAAATAATTTTAAAAGTCCGAAAACTAAAATATGTTTGAATTGCTAAAAAATCTATTCTATTCTATTCTTGTCTATAGTCGAGATAAGTCGAGAGTCTGTCATAATTTTCTTGAATGCAGTAAGGAGTATCAATAGTTAGAATTTAGAATACCTACTTGAAATCTTTAATGGATTAAGATTTATCAAAAGTTAGATTACTATTATTATTAGTAGATATTAATAGTCTTTACTTTACACAAATTCATTGTCTATTGGTTTCAAAAAAAAAATTGCTTAAAATATGATATTTTCTCAAGTAATTACTTCTCTCGGCTATAGTATAGATACGAGTGTAATTCTCATTTATCAACATCTGGGGAGTGTTTCCCTGAAAATTCGAATCGAAAATCGAATTCACGGCACTGTGGTTTGTACCACAAGCTATGTTTAATACTCAGGATCAATGCAAACTACCATCTTCATGCAGATTTATCGTCTTATGAGTCTAAGTGAAATCGAATCAATCACCTTTCGGTTTTCCCGTGTCGGGGTCCTCGTAATGGCTTTGATTACCAATGTACGCAAACTCATAGTAGAATACCTTGTGGTTGGAATTCCGGCACATTACATTCGCCATCCTGTTGCATGATTAAAAAAAAATATTTATTAAATCAAATAACTTATAGTGAGTTATACATATAAATAGAAAAAACATTTTATGTGTATTGTAATACTAAAAATTGTTAAAACAATTAGTGGATATGTTTTGATGAAAGCCAACTACATATTTCTTTACTTTAGCGTTATATTACCTGTGTGTCGGAAACCCGACTATAGAGTCTCCGTATATTTTCCCCAATGCTCTAGCACTTTTGTCGTCTGCTGTTATAGGTTTATTGTTCAGATATTTCTGCTTCAATATCGCTACTATCGTAGATGAGTTCTCTGGTGGTAACTGGAAGGAGATAGGTGCTATGCGTTCCCAGTTTTTGTTCATATCGTTCAATAAAGATTCATTCCTGATTACATCTGTAAAGAAGAAGATAAGAAGCTGGAAGTTGTAAGAATTCTGTGGAACACAAAGGAATGATTTCCCGTCGCAAGACTTTATATCCTAATAATGAAACGGAGGAATTTGTGAATATATTGTCAATACACAGTAAATAGTGAAAAGCACGATAAGAACAAGCATTAAGACAAGTTATGTACAAGTAGCTAAATAGCTCGATGGCGTTAAGCAACTTTCGCAAGGGTCGGACACTTTGGTCCCAGTTGCATTATGCATTCGTAAAAACCCTCCAATCTGTATTGGGATAGCGTGGAAAGTCATGGCCATCCATAACGTAGCTCCGGGCCCCTGCATTGGAGACTAAAACGGCTCATGATGATGACAACGATGACGATGTGCAAGTAATATGTACTCGTACTTAAATATAACTAAACATCACTCGGTTTCCAAAGACAAAAGTGTTGTTTTTCTTTTAGTAAATATCTAATAGGTGACATTTTCTTGACTTGTTTATGTTACCGTAGAAGAGTAAGCTTCGGCAGTTAACGTAAACCTCAGAAGGTAGTTTTTAATTGTATAATTTAAATATTATAGGATAGGATTATGTATGCTGTTGATTATACGGTGACATACAGAAATCGATTTGACTCGAGGCAGTGTGTATACTTTACGTTGAAGTTTCACGCTGCATAAATAAGTATCAGTAGTAACAGTGTGTATAAAATTGTAATAAGCGATTATCGATAACTGTAGCAGCAAATTCATATAAATTGTGTAATATAGGAGGGATTCCATAGATGACGTAATCGAGTGACATTTATTTTCTCGTTTTATTTACTACATTAATAAAGAAGAGGTCTGTTAAATATAAATGGGGCAAAATACAGAAGTACTAATACCTAAAAGAAACAAACAAAAAATTAGTAACAGAATTGAAATAAATAACCATCCAATCTTCACTAGTTAAAATTATTGTTTTACTATGTCAAGAAAGAGGATAGTGCAACTAACGCATTCCACGGTTAACGTTAAAGTCAGTTTGTCAATTATTGCAAATTTAATATAAACCTTAACTCAATAGTTTACTCTTTGCCTGGACTTTAATTGTCATTACATAGCATACATTAATTAGGCTCAATTTGTTAATCGACTATTGAGAGTGTTAAAACATTTTACTATATGCGCTCCAGAAGAATTCATCTGTGGTTTGGCTGATGAGGTGTGGGACGGTGTACGCAGCGCGGCGACGCAACGCATTCTCCGGTCGCTCTGGTAGGAATTGCTCCTGGCCTAGCGCCCGCTCCACCACTGGCGACCAAATACGGACCGGATCGAATCCCCATTCCTACAAACATACATCAACCCACGTCAATTAGCAGAGGTTTATTTGTATTATATCAAGTGAGAAAGAAAGAAAAAAATAAATTTTAAATTAGCAGAGGTTTATACTAGACCAAGTGCATGTGCCTGGGTTGAGATTGAATATATTCATAACCAAAGAAATATTTCTCACTAGCCCTGTTGCTGGCAATAATAAATTACATGGATAATAAACAGAGACGACATCATTTCTCAAATAATTTTATTTCTCCTAAAACTTAAACCGACCTCAAATTATTTTTAAGTGCTCGTTGATATGTATTGATGACCTTCACATTTACTTTGATAACTCTTTATTATTTCGACATAAAATTAAAACTGCTGAACAGATTTTAATGAAATTTCTAAATGACCTCATAGAGAGTTTATAAAATAATTGTTATTTCCTAATATTCTTTATCATACAAAATCGTCGTTTGTTACTGCTATTATTAAGTAATAACTGGATGGAATGAAATGAATGGTTGTTATTTATTTGTATAACTTACACGGAAACCATACAATGAATCTCCCAATTCTCTCCAAGGCTTCGTTTTGAGACATTGCACGATAACAGAAGAGTTGTCCGTCGGACAGCCAACTAGTTGCGCTTGTTTCTGGGCTAGATGATAAAGGTTGTCCGGCAACGGCGCAGGACCCATAGGAGATGCACTCATCGATATACCACGTTGGAAAAGCCCTAATAATATAAATAATAAATTTATGGAAAAATTGTTATACCTACCTTCAAATTCCTATAGAAATATTATACATATTCCATCTTGATATTTTATTTCATTGTATTTGGAAATATAAAATTATTATTATTTTATGCAAATAAATCTATAAATAACATAACTATTTGAGCCCAGAATAAAATCATTAAATTGGAACGGTCCGAGCCAAGATCCCTGAGGAACTCCAGAGGATAGTGTAGCATACATAGATTGTGTGTAATGAGTTATCAAAAAATGCTTTTTTTCTATGTATGCCACTAATTAAAATTAATCTACCATACCGTCATGTCACAAAAAAGTGCAAGCAATAATTATCATACCTATGCTACAAAAGCACAGGATTATGACCCGAAAGGTAACACAAACAAATGCACGCTTAGGTGTATTTTCTAGTTATATTGGCAGTGATATTTGATTTTCAACATTGGGCTAACGTCCAAGCAAAATTGATCGTTAAACATGTTTAAGGACGTGGCAAACTATATGTAATAAATATAAGACAAATATTATGCTATCTTTTTTACATTTAATTGCAGCGATTGATTAAAAACCGGTCATTTTCGTCTTAATATTTTGCATAAGAATATATTATTATTATATAAGTGGTTGTTTCCTTAGTGGTTGTTTCCTTAGCTTAAAATAAGATAAGAATTCTATGTTATAAAATAAGGTGCTTATTCTGTGTCGGAAACGAAATTTCGTCTATTTTGGAAACGCTATGCATTTCTCGAAGTATTCGTTATTGCATACAGTAGTAGTAGTAGTACAAAATCTACATTTTGTAGAAAATTTGCCGAAATTTGGTTTGTGATAAGAGATAGGCCCTCTGATCTGTATACTATATTCTCAAAAAAATTATATACTCATTATATCCGCTAACCTACAAAAATTCACTAAAGATAACCTTTAGACATGGGAGAGATCATATGCAGCATGACGCTTAACGATCCAGCACTGCACCCAGCGATGGTCACCAGGTTTGGATCACCGCCGAAAGCTCTAATGTTTCTCTGTACCCACTTCAGTGCTGCTACCTGATCCTTGAAGCCATTGTTTCCCGGTGCCAGCTGGTCTCCTGTGCTTAGAAATCCTGAGCAATAGCGTATAGTAGAAATAAGTTTCACAATAATTTTGTAGACCATCAAAAGTTAATTTGCGTTTTAAACGTTAAAGTATATTTTACCAAGAGATCCAAGGCGGTAGTTTATGGTAACTAGCACCAAATCCTTGTCTAGTAGGTAATGTGGTCCGGCGAGGTCGCTGCGCCCTGTCATCGCATAGAATCCGCCAGGGTGGATGAAGAAGATAACTGGCAGAAGCTCCAAACTGAACCACCAATGAATAATAATCAGGTAGAGTTATTCATGTACTTACACTGATTTCATACAGCGAAAGAATAAAGTGGATATGCCTCAAATCCCGAGATTAATTTTAAAGAGCAGAAAATATCCCGTGATTTTTTAAATAAAAAGTTATTTACTTTTACATAATTTAAACTACTGCACGCACGACGTTGCCAAACTTACATCAATGACATCGGATGTCCAAAGATGTCCAAGATTGTCCATTAGAAATCCCGGGAAGGTCCATATTAATATCAACATTTCGATGCAAGTACATAAATAACTCTACCTAATTCCGACCTCTGATAATGTCAAGAACAATATTCAGTCACATCGATTATTTCTTATTTTTAGATTGAAAGGATCATTTTTATGTTTCTGTACCCAAAGGGTAAAATGGGAACCCTATTACTAAGACTTTGCTATCTGTCTGTCACCAGGATGTATCTCATGTACCGTGAAATTTAAGACGGTTTTTAGTTTCACGACTATACATAAAATTGCCCATATTGATAAATTTCGGGTCTAATTGTAATTGTGTTGTGTCAATACTAGTACGATAGTAAATAAATATAAAAATATATAGACGGCGACGGATTATTGACATCAGGGTCAAAAGAAATCTAAAATGATAAACTACAAATGACTACAATCCTTTTTTCACCTGTTACTAGTTGGTGTGTAGATGTTGATGGTAAGACAGTCCTCATCGACTGGGTATTCTGGCGGGGCAGGTAACGGACACGCGGGTCCGTCATCACTGGCGTTTACTAATTCCTTGTATTCTAAGATCGGCTTTGGAGGCTGTAAAAATAGAGTTTTTAAATAAACACAATAAATATACTTATAGGTCAGGTTAGGGCTTATACGGTCAGTTGCAGAAACGTTCATTAATGTTTAATGGCTCCTTTAAACTCTAAGGAATGTCGAATTTGTATCTATAAACTTTAATCTAATGACAAATTTAATGGACGTTTGTGCAACTGGCGAACATACTTGCAAAATAAAGTGTTGTTCTCAATAGAAAAGGGGGCAATGCTTAGATGAGAATTCATCATAAAGTAAATTTTGCATGATGAAAGCATCTCATCTGAAAAAAAATAAAGAAAGATAATTGTGATTCGTTACATAAATTTATTTCATACCTGAAATCGCAACTCTCCTACAGGTGGATGAGCATACCGTATACCACGGTAAGCCTGGAAGCTTTTTCCACGGCGGGTTTTCATCCATGACCCCTGGAACCGGCCCGACACACTCTCCACTATTGGTGCTGATGGAAGTTCTAAAGCGAAATAAAGAATTTAATTTTTAAAAAGCTAAAACATCACTGATGTGAAAACAAGTACGATCTCTTAAATATAGAATTTTTTTTTATTTATTTGAAAAATAATATTTTGTTGTTGATTCCATAGCAATAATAAATAAAATATAATATTAAGTAAGTAATTCTATAATAGTCTAGCAGAGAACTCTTTAGAGAAAAGAAATATATTTCTAACGCTAATTGTAGCGCTATATTATCTTATAAAAACACATCGGCGTCGAACATATCTTCCCTTTCAATTTTGAAGTTTGTTACAAATGTAAGTACTACAACTAGTATAGTTTATAATAATATTATAAAGAGGGAAGATTAAATTGTTTGTTTGCATTGAATATACTCTGATGCTACTGGACCGGTTTTAAAAACTTCTTATACCTACGGGAAACTACATTATACGCAATTAACATATTAAATAAATAGAAGTTGTGGTAAAACAGCTAGTATTTAATACATAGAAATATTATATATAAAATACTAGCTACATAGTAGTATACACATAGATAGGGCATGAATTGCGAAAAATTTATTGATATTAAAATGCATTGATCATATTTTGAGAAACATACCATCTTGAGCAGGAATCTTCTCGGTTTGTTGCAAGCAATGAGTAAGCGCAACGAGGAAACACAACAACACAACTCTGATATTGATCATTTTCCTTAAGACACAAGGTAAATGGCGCGTGTGCTGCTGCTGCATTTATTATATACTCAAAAGTTTAGGGATACGTTCCGTAGACTTACAAAACCCAAGAATAATAATATATATATATATTTTTTTATAAAATATTAAACTCCCCCGTTGATTCATAGGCGGTTCTCAGTTCGATTCGATTTTTGGTTGCGCTCGTCTATTTGTCTATCGCAGCGTACATTCAATCTGTTCATTCCTCCGCGTTACAAAGAAAAACATTACATATTCGAAATTATTTCTTTTATTCTTCCACCAACACATACAACAAATTATTTTTAAATAAAGACATTTTTAATATGTCTCCTAATTCTTTAAAAAGAAACTTTTTTTAGAATATATTTCAAAATTTATTCCTATTCACAATTTGTTCAATAATAATCACTCTAGCATTGCGGTAGCTTTACCAATAACTTGTTTTCATAAAATAAAATAAGTATATGATCGCGTTTCGATATGTAAGAGCAGTATAAGTTGTTTTGCCTAATGAAATTTTGGACAATGTAGCATTTCTTTATTTTTTATACTTTTATTATGTTTTGTTAACATAAATGACCGTTTGATGAAAAATAAACGTAAAATAATAATATTAATCTTAGGGTCCAAATTATTGTATTATACTTACTTACTTGGTCTTGTATTATACATAAAACCTTCCTTTTGAATAACCCTATCTATTAAAAAAACCGCATCAAAATTCGTTGCATAGTTATAAAGATAAGCATACATACAGACGACGATGACGGAAAGCAACTTTGTTTTTTACTTTGTATTGATGAGATAAGAAGATCGTCGTTTAAACATTTTCCTCTTAAATATTCCTGTTCTCTTTGCCAAATTTAGCTAATTGGTTCTTTTTTTTTAATGCCCGGCGTTACTTTTGTGACCAAGCCTTTTTGTAACACTTATGCTTGCAAAAAAACGTATTATAGTAGCCATTTTGGATTTGGCAACGTTTTGAATTTTGTAGAGTTATGACAATCGTGCCGAAACTATCCAACCCTGCTTCTTTAGGTTCTTTAAGATGAACACTTTTTATTGCAATAGTTATTAAATCATAGGTATAAGTCGGTCAAATACTCTTAGATTTGTTTAATAGATAGCTTAAACGACAACGGTTAAGTATAGCAACTGGTATAAAAAGAACCTTACTTAACTTCTGTCTAATGCTATAATGGATAGAGTATAAACTAGTATAGACGTATGCGTCTCAGTTATGTTAGTGTGGCGATATGGCGACTAATGCGTAGCCACATCTAACTCATCACACTTACATCGCCACAACAATCGATAGCAAAAAGACTAGCATCGTCACAGCAATCGAAAGCAAGACGAACTGCAACAAACATTGTACGAAGGTGGATTGAAAATTTCGCGGCCTAACAAATAAATCTTAAACTAATTCTAAAAGATAAAAGAGATTCACGAAGATATTGGTTGGTAACAACATTGGAGGAATCTGCTCCGTCGTATACGACTGAAAAAGTGGGTTGCTGAATTTAAACGCGGACGAGAGAGTATTGAAGATGACCCTCTAATGATCTGATATCGACAGATTGGAGATTGGCCATCAGGGAGATTGCAGATACTATTGATTGATCGTCGCCATCTTTCATTCGTTTCATTTTCATTTTACATGTAGAAATTAATTTATTCACTTGACATTGGCAGAATTGTGCTAAATGCGCAGATAAGCCATTAATAATAAAAGAAGAAATACTATTGGCATCTCGCATAGTTAATGAACTTGGATTTTCTAAGGTTTCTGCACGGTGGGTACCCAGATTGCTTTCAGTCGAACAAAAACGAATAGGTACGCCTCATCATTTCTCACGACTGTTTGAAAATGTTTCAGGCTGATCCACAAGATTTTTTATGGATGACCATTGTTAGAAATCTGGATAAAAAACTTGGGTACACCACTACACCCCAGAGTCAAAACAGCGATCCAAGCAGTGGAAAAAACGTGATGGCGTCAGATTTTTTGGGATGCTAAGGGTGTCATCATGGTGGACTATCTTGCAAAAAATTAAACTATAAACTCGGCTTATTACTGCACCCTCTTACGGCGCTTGCGCGAAACAATCAAAGAGAAAAGGCCAGGATTACTTAGCAAGAAAGTGTTGTTCCATCAGGATAACGCATTTGTTCACACGTCCGTTGAATCTATGGCTCAAATTCGTGATTGTGGCTTTGAATTACTGCCCTCAAAATCAATATCAAATCAAAATTTATTTATTCAGTTTAGGCTTTTACAGAGCACTTGTGAAAGTCGAAAACTACGCCATCGGTTCGCAAAACTACGGCGGGAGACCTTGTACTGAGAAGAACCGGCAAGAAACTCAGCAAGGGCTACTTTTTTCTCCCTGTTTTATTTCACACAGAGAAGTCTTATTGAAAAGTGACTTCATTAGAATATGAAGTCACTTTCCATTACAATATTAGAAATTAAATACAACAAAGTTAAAATATCTAACACCATGCCTTTTTGTCATTTAGATATTCCTTAACGGTATAATACCCTTTACTTTGTTTTATCCCCTATCGGGATAGGGCATAAATATACTTTTATGCCCTATCCCGCCTATTCCTCTGATTTGGCACCTTCAGACTTTCATTTATTCCCAAACCTAAAAATGCACCTTGGAGGTCAAAACTTTTCATCAAATGAGGAGGTCAAAGCTGAGGTAGGTGATTTTTTTGAAGGCCTTGAAGAAACTTTTTTTTTGACCGTCATACAGGCGTTGGAAACCAGATGGAAGAAGTGCATAGAGTTAAGTAGAGATTACGTGGAAAAATAAAATTTCTTTTGTTTATATTTTATATTGTTTTCTTGCTGAAGCCGAGAACTTCCGCGGAAAGTTGTTATTATCTTGAAAAAAAGATTAATTTCAGTTTAGATTACATAATTATTGTAGTCTAATTTAAATGTTTATAAAAAAAGTGTGCTTAGGATGTAGCATGGAATTACATACGATTGCCGAACGACCAACAGCCAAATAGCACGGAATAAGGAAGTATTAAAAAAAAACATTAGTTCCCAAAATCAAACTAGATGTCGCTAAGGAACTTTCTGGATTTCTCAATGAAAACTCCGATTTTCTGTCTTGTATAAAAGTAAATTAATTTTCAAAACTCAATAAACAACTCATATTCTATTTGTACTTTTTCGTATTTGTATTGATATCTAAGTTTCGAACTTTGCAAATTTCAGTTTATGTTAGTTAAAAGGAACGAAAAGGAACGATTATCTTTGGTCCATTCGTTTCCTGCAAATATTAACTTTTGGTACAGTCGCCATCTAGTGAGGTTTTTTAGTGCTTTCTTTTTTCTCTCTAAATACTCTCTCATTAGGGCCAAACTTGACACTCATGAAATTGGCTAGATATTGTATCTACAAATTTAAGGCTATCATGCAAAGAAGTGTTTTAGGTTCATCTTATAAAAGTATAAAAGAATATTAACGCGTAGTAAAATATCGCAATACGAACAGATTTCTATTTTCAACTTTAACCTGCTGCTGAACTGAGTTGATTTTTATCAACTCAGTTCAGCAGCAGATGCAAATTAATTAGGTACAGTATATGATAAGCTTAGATATAACGAAAATCATGTATTTTGTTGTGATTTAATAAATATTATTATTATATTATTATTATTTTAAAGTTATTTTACAATAGCAATATAATGTACGATGAGCCTTGCGTTAGAAAGAATAGTAGGAAACTGCAGTTCAGTTTTATACAATCAGTGCACCTTTTTTAAAATACAATAGTTCACGGCTTCATAATTCGCGTTTTTACTTATTCGCGGGAGAAAAATTTGTAACCGAATTTTTGTACTCGCGATTAAAATCTGCGTATTCGCGGATGCAATTGGTGACATAAAGGAATTCAGCATCGTTTATTGACGCATCGCCATATTTTAAATACTTCGGGCATGTGTCAAGGTCGCTCTTATAACGCCTTATAATTTTTGCTTCGTTGTAGCATTCATAAATACTTTTAAAAAGCTACATTATGAACGCTACAGTTACTTAGTTATGAATCTGAATTTAAAGATCTTTAAAAACTGGCAAAAACATAATGAGAAAAAATTTCAAAAACCCTTATTTTTAGCTGACAATAAATATTGATTTCAATTGGTAGTTCTTCAATATACCTCAATTGTATTTATTTTGACATACATGCTGCTTTTATTTAGGAACTTTTGAACTTATCCCTATTAATCTATATACCATCCCGTATTCGCGTTTTCTGTATTCGCGGCATATTTAAGGAACCTATCTTCCGCGAATAAGGAGCTTCTACTGTACTAAGATAATGGTCGATAATCGAATTATTTATATAGCATACACCTACTTATGAAAGTAGGTAGTTGACCTATTAGAACTTTATGCATATTATGCGTTATGCCATTTTGTTTGTTAAACCATTTAAAAGAGCCGTTGTTGTTGCATGGTTGTGTCTCGACGAAGCTGTGACTCACTTTATTTTATTTTATAAAATTACACCTAATTGGCTGCACGCAGAGTATAAATTTGACTACAAACTAAATGGCCTTTAAGAAAGTCGATATATTTTATGCCGTCATTCAATAGAATAAAACCGAAAATCCAATGTCGTTTGTTGAATTTTACAAATTCCTTTTCGTCATCGTTACCCCGCCCTCACGCATGCGTCCCTTCATTTTGCCAACCCTTGTAATTTTAGTGATGTGCTTCCGGAACTTTTTACCCAATACTTTTTATTCTATTTCTAAACTAAAATTTTCTATATGCAAAATCTATCAAATATAATAGCTATTATAATGTTAAAACAAAAACATTATTTAGATTCCTACTTGAAATTTGGACACATGTGCGTGCATTAATTGGATATTCATTTAATTTACTTGATAATATAAATAACTAACCTCATATAATTTTCTTAACACAATAATATACACATTTTTTTATAAAGATACTTCCTATTCTAATTGATTACTAACGAGTATAGAATGATAAAATATAATATACAATTTCTTGTAGCAATCTTAATAGGAGCACAGATAGGAGCATCAATTAAAGTTAACTGTTATTTGTATATTATCGACTGTCGATACCGTTTTATTGCACACATCACTGTGCACTTTGTACGGTACGAGAACTCGAGACGAGTGGTCGCGTAAGTCGCGTTTGCGCCATGACGCGTCCTACGCGTCTGTCACGTTAAAAATAGAATATTTATATTTCATTTAAGTATATGAGAACTGTCTGATGCAAGTAAGAAACGTCTTTTATTTTACGTTCTCTATTGTGACTGACTTGATATGCACATAAATGTTTGCATTAAATAAATATGAAGATTATTTTTCAACAAATTTCATTTTCAGATGTACATTAATTTATATTGGGTTCGGAACGTGACAGAATAGTGCGATGACCTTGATTTTTCATAGAATTTTTGCATATAACATAATTTTTCCTGTACATTTTATAGGTGACGTCACCATAATCGCAGCACTGGATTGTTGAATTAGGCGACCGCTGGCGATAAGCTGGTGGCAGGAACCGGATATGGGAGGTGATTATTTTTTTGTTCTGTTTACATTGTTTGAAACTAGGGTAGAAGGAAAAAAGCGAGTAGGTGAGCTTGACATTGACATTTCACTTTGTATATTACACATGTTTTGTTTTGTTGACAATATTGATTTATTTTGTATTGTAATAAGTAGTAATGTATAATAGTATAATGTATAGACTCCGATGAAAGTATGTTTATATTTGGTTTATATACTTTTTGTTTTTTTTTTTAATGCCTAATGTCATGTAAACTGATTTATTATTTAAATTTGGACACCTGTTTGCAATCTAAAAGTGATTATTTCTATTTTATTATATTTAATCCAAAACTTCTATATATGTTTATACCTTTTATTTATATTTCATAAATGTTATATTGAACATAGATGTGGGAATTGAACCCTGCCCAATATTGAGAGATAGTAAAACGACAATATGGCCATTCAACCACATTATTTTCACACTACTGCTTTTTATATTCCTTTCGTTTGAACTAGAAGCTCTTCATATGGACGTTTCTGTAAAAAAGTATCTTATTACTACTGTAAAAAAAAAAATAACAAATGAGACTTTATAAATGGATTTCAAATAATATATTATCGACATTTGGAATTAAACCTTTAAACTATAATTGTTACTGTTTTAATTAACATGTAGAACGGGAAGGTTGTGCCGCGGGTCGCATGTGGAGGTCGGCTTGCGCGGCTTTGAATGCGCCTGATGCTGAAGAAGCGTGGCAACAAATTGTAGACGCTTCGCCGCCTGATGGCCTTTGGCATTCACTAAGGAACTGCGTCGCTTATCAGGTCTGTCATTAACATATATCAACTTCCGTTAGATCATGAAATTATCTATATCTTCATTAGTGTCCGACCGAAGGTCTATTTTTGGCCGAAGCCGAAGCCGATTAATCGGCAATCGCCACAACCTTCGGCAAAAGCCGAAGCCGAAGCCGATGGTTTATAATTTCTCAGTATTGTCTACAAGCTACAATTAATATTAAAATTATTTCAAAACTTCAATATTGAAGGTTATATTGACTGTCTCATATAGAAGTTGATTTAGAAATACAGATTTGACAGTGAAGGCGCTTGTGCACTACACTGAATTTTCATGTCCGGCGGTCCGATTTTTTCCGGCCTGATATGTCAGGCTAATGCCATATGTAGGTAATGCTAGCCTGTGCCAGGAATATTTTTCCTGTCTTCTACGTCTTCGCACGTACAGTAATAGAGCAAGCAATTACCAACGTTTCAAATATCTGTTGTAAGTGACGTGTAGCTTCAAAGAGAGCTACCCTAAAATGTGCCGCTCCGATCCGGAAAAAAACGGACAAGTGCACAAGCTACTCCGAAAATCCGAGTTTTTCATGTCATTCGGGACCGGAAAAAGTCGGCCTGCCGGACCTGAAAATTCATTGTAGTGCACAAGCGCCCTGACTCCCCGCGGCCTCTGCCAACACGACCGGTCCATCGCTCTCTCACTCAGTCTTTCGAAACAGTTCGTTCAATCTCGACGGTAGCTCGGACCTTCGGCGAAACCTTCGGCTTCGGCCTAGTTTTGGGCCGAAGCCGATGGTTTCGCCGAAGATGGTTTTATTGGCCGAAGATGCCCGACGCCGAAGCCGAAGCTGAAGCTTCGGTCGGACACTAATCTTCATGTATTGTTACATAGATAGACCAAGTGCCAACATGTTTTTCGGAAATAAAGACATAACTTTTACCAGAAAATGTGTCAATTAAATAAAAATAAACTATAGAAACAATTGAGTTCTGTGCAATGATGTTTGTCGGCTACTTAGGTCCTACTCGAGAAGCGTTTAATACTGGTCTAAAGAAACTAACTAGGTAGAGATATTTTGATGTCCACAAGTAACTGCTAACTTTCATGTAATTGCGTTAAGATCCAATTTCTATAATAAAAATTTCATACGACTTGTACGTGGAAACAAAAAAAACAAACAAACACGAGTCCAAATATGATTCGTTTCGATATGTCAACACCCCGTTATCTCCGCATTCAAATAATTGAAATAAAACTGACAGTTTTTGCTTACTTTTTGAATCACCAATAGATGAACTTCAAACGCAAATCAAGTAAAAGTATATCTAGCTCACATTTAGGTTAGTAACATATTACTCATTTTTTTTTTACAATATCGAATGCGAAAAATTGCCTACGGGTTAGTTAGATTATCTGGAACTGGTTGCTTAGTAGGTATATATTATACTTATATCAACACTGGAAGTGTGTCGGCCAGGGTAGCATACCTGATACTCAGAATATTAAATCGATATTCGTTGAATGTCATACAGGTTTATGCTCCGACATTGGCACACCCAGATGACGAAGTGAGATCTTAAAAGCCATGCATAGTTACAATACCCACTACACGGTTGTGATGGGGGACTTTAACGAGAAGATAGGAAAATGTAGCGGTGATGAGTTGAGAATGGGGCAATTTGGATTTGGGTGCCGGAACTCCAGAGACCAGATGCTGGCTGATTTCATGGAAAAGGAGAATCTCTACATGATGATTTAATGGTTTCCTTCTTCAGAAAACCATTAAATCGGAAATGGACCTGGATGAGCCCGGACGGTAAAGTCAAAAACGAGATTAATTTCATTATGTCAACAAAAAACGCCATTAAAACGGGAAGCGATGATCGGCTGGTACGAGACACATTGAATATCAATATCAAGCTGGAAAGATCTCGATTGATGAAATCTACGCTCCAACCAATACCTGCACATATCCAAAACCCCGAAAGTTTTTAACTCGAGCTTCAGAACCGCTTTGGCATCCTTGACAGCGATTTGGATGTGGACGATCTAAACAGCATGATAGTGAATACTGTCCGTATGATAGGGTCCAAGTTCTTCAAAACCCACCGTCCCAGAACAAAGAAACTCTCTGATGACACACTACAACTCATGCAAATGAGATACGAATTGAGGTTGCAAAACTCAATCGATGCAAGTCGTTTTTGGCTTCTAAATAGATCAGAGTTCTTGAGAAGCGATCTTCTTCGAAAGAGGCAATTGAGTGGAACAAAGGCTCCAAAGTGTTCGCGAAAGATCTGTCTATTGGGCAAAGCCAATTGACGAGGCTGAAATCTGACGACGGTAGCATCATCTCGTCTAAAGCGGAAATCTTAAAGGAGATCGAGAGTTTCCATGGACAGCTTTACTCCACAAAAATACCTGCCGAGCAAGGCAAGAGATCCTAGAGCCAAGCTTACCCGACACTTTACGGAAGAAATCCCGGACGTTGGTCTGTATGAGATTAGTATGGCTTTTAAAGAACTGAAAAACAACAAGGCAACGTGTGACGATTGAATCACCTCAGAGCTTCTGAGAGCGGGCTAAGCCGATACTCAAAGTCCTCGAGAGGGTCTTCAATTCCATTATTCTCGAAGGTAAAACGGCAAAAGCATGGAAGGGAGTAAGGTCGTCTTGTTTTTCAAAAAGAGTGATAAAACACCCTTGAAAAACAATAGGCCGATCTCGCTTTTGAGCCACGTTTATTAATTGTTCTCAAGGGTCATAACGAATCATCTCATTCGCAGGCTCCGTCGAGCCTGCGAGTGAGACGAAAGAGTGAAAGAGTGGGTCTTAAGATGAACATGGATAAGACGAAAATCATGTCAAACGTCCATGTTGTACCCACTCCAGTTAAAATTGGGAATACTACTCTTGAAGTTGTCTATCATTATGTGTACCTAGGACAGACAGTCTAGCTAGGCAAGTCCAACTTCGAGAATGAGATCTCTCGTCGAATTCAGCTCGGATGGGTAGCGTTCAGGAAGCTACAAAAAATATTCACGTCCAAATTACCACAGTGTCTCAAGACCAAAGTCTTCAATCAGTGTGTGTTGCCAGTAATGACTTACGGTAGCGAAATGTGATCGTTCACTATGGGTCTCATAAGAAGGCAGGGTGTCACCCTGCGGGCAACGGAGAGACCAATGCTTGGTATCTCTCTGCGTGATCGAATTAGGAATCAGGAGATCCGTAGGAGAACTAACGTTACTGACATTGCACAAAGATTTGCTCAGCTAAAGTGGCAGTGGGCGAGACACATAGCGAGAAGAACTGATGGCCGTTGAGGCAGAAGAGTTCTGGAATGGCGACCACATACCGGACGACGCTCAGTGGGCTGGGCTCCCACCAGATGGACCGACGATCTTATAAAGGTTGCGGGAAGCTGCTGGATGCGGGCTGCGCAGTACCGATCGTCGTGGAAATCTATGGGGGAGGCCTATGCTCAGCAGTTGGCGTCTTATGGCTGATGATAACGGAGCTGGAAAGCAAACAAGTAGTAACCTAAATTCAAAATTGTTCTTTGGAGCAGGAAAGCTTTTTTTCGAAAAAATAAAACCGTTTTGAGTTTATTGAGCGGGTTACTACGTGTTTGCTTACCAGCGTTTAAATATAGAGGTTACCTAGAGGGCAATTTTAATGTTTGAAAATTTACAACATAACTTATTTGTGTATTCCTATCGTGTTAACCTTCTTTTCATTGCTTAAAGATAGTGAATAAAAATTGGTTAGCTAAAAACAGTTTTATTTCAATAATCTTGATGAGATACTAATTATAGGCTGGCGTATGGCAGAACCTCCTGTTGAAAGAAATGGAGGAGGTGACGTACCCAGCAGCATTTAAGCTGGGAATAGTGTTGAGGCATACGCCTTCAGAGATTGCAGTCAGATTACTAGCGGATATGCTACAGGCGCATCCACAGTCGGTAAGCGTACAGACATTATTCTATAAAAGAGTAAGAATCTATTATGTTGTGGGTGTTGTGGTATCTGCAACAAATCCTAGTTGAAAACACTTTAACAAACGCAAAAGCGGTATATCACACTGATGTACATTACAAATAGGTACCTACTAATACTAAAATTGCTTATGATCTTGTTTGAAGAGATTGTTAGAGTGACACCATCTAGTATCTATAGTCGTAACATTTAGTTATATATATTAGATAACTTGCTGAGACAATTACCTATTGTCACAAAATAGTCCTACTATTATGAAGATGATCTAATAAAGAAGCATAATCAATTGCGTTAAATCAAAAGACTAGATAGATGTCATTTGAAAAGATATTTTAACTAAACAACAGCCCAGTTATATAAACGTCCATTAAAGTTCAATAAAACTTAAAGCTTAAATTAATGTTCTGAATTTGAAAATTCGTTTCGGGTACAAATATTGCTTTTATTAGCTTGTGACAATTTTAATGAACGTTGGTGCAACGAGCAGTACGACCCATTGGTAAATAGTTGCGTCGCCGATCATGTTAAACTATAATAAATATTTCTGTGATATTTGCAATCACATGTGCACTCATTTAAGTGAATACAGCAAGGAATAATAACATTTGATCAAAAGCGGTATTCGATCACCTTTTTCATACGTTTGGATTTTTCTGTGATGTTTTTATTGTAATGAATGTCGGAATAAAAAATATAGTATTTAAAGTAATATTTTCTATCTTTCTATGATGGCGATATAGCAAACACTAACTTCATACGTACTCGCGTTGCTAACGGATGATGAGGCACAGTGGTGTGGCAGCTGCGGGGCGGGATCGCCAGGTGGCAGCGACGGTGCAGAGGGATCGGGGAGCGCACCGCTGCGGGATCTGCGTCTGTTCGGGGATTGCGAGCTGGCGGTCTTGGCTGCCTCGCGCGAGGAGTATGACGCGCATGCCAAGCTTGTACGTGCCGAGTACTCACAACTGACGCACAACAACTACGTCGAACTAAGGATCAAAGTGAGACTTGATTTCAACATTATCGTTATAGCTCTCCTATAATCCATGTAATTCCTAGAATTATAATAGTTTACCTAGCAATTTTTCTGCAAATGTTAATTTATTCGAATCATGGTATGACCTCATTAGAAATCCTATATTAAATCATAGTTTTTCCATTATATTTTTCTACACAGTATTCTTCCCTGCTGACCGATTACGCTGTCCATAAGATCCGACACTTGTTTATGACGTATCGTACAAGATGCTTACTTATGATCGTCATAAGTACATACACAAACAGCAGAGGTGGATAGTGTGCAAAAGATTTAACGCTGAAACTGTTATTAACCTGTTTAAATTTTTGAACGAAAGTAGCGTCCTCGAACATATTATTTTGGACCTTATTTTTTATACGTATCATTTTATTATTTCCTTCCACACTTTTTGTTTTCTATTCTTATGCAGTATTGCGAAAAACGAATTCAACAGAGAAATTACGATTTTTTTTTCAGGTGTTGAACCAGTTTTCTCAAATCCCAAAATTGTTTCACTCTCCGGAATTCCAATGTTTCGAAGCCGCAGCTCGGGAGAACATAGAACGTGAAATTTGCACACTTAGAGAACATCTCCTCACCGGGAGAAGAGAATAGGGCCACGTGCTCGCAGTATTTGCTAGTATTAAAAAGATGTAAGAATTAAATAAAATTATGCCACAAAGACTTCAAATCACTTATTATATGATTTGAAAATGGCTACAAAATTTTATTAAACTAAAAAACTTATCATGACGTCTTAAATGCGTTGCAAATATCGCTATAAGTTAATTACTGTAATATGATCTGAAACATTTAATCAATCACAGGCAAACGTATTTTAATTCAGGATCTGATTACAGGACAGGATAGGATACCTTTGTACATAGATAATCAAAATTCAAGACCATCAGACATTTAATCAAAAATAATTACATGTACCTACACAAATTTATATTATTATGAAGTAGTAGTTACTGTATCTACATTGAGATGGTTGAAAATCATAAATTCATTTATAAGTTCAAATAAAAGATAAACAGCTTTATATTTGTAATAAAATGAGTATATAAAAAAGTTTTATTTTAAACAGCTTGTTTAATGTGGTATGCACCTTTATAATAGACATTATCTGAAGATTTGTAAATGCAGTATTAATAAAAAGACAACTTGGTCTAAGGAAAGTTATAGCGCTTATTTCGGTAAGAAAAAAAAATAAATTGCGAATATGAAATTTAATTATATCCGAGTGACTGTATGTAGGTCTATGTTTAAGAAAATTATTTTAATGATAGATATATTTTCATTACGATTATCTATATAAGTAGGTACAATTAACAGCACGTCAGGTAAAACAAAGTGTCAAATTTTCCTACTTAATTTTAAACCTCAATGCTTTGAGTGTATAAGTTCATATTGTATTGTGGAAATTTAACATATTATGGTACCTGACGTGCAGCCGTGAATACCTACATATTATATTGATATTTCTCGTATTTAATTGTGATATTGTGTTGCCTATTTATTAATAAATTAGCCAGCTTATTTAGATAATAAAAGTTGACAAAGTCATGGATAATAATGAGTACGAAATATAAAAAAAAATTTAAATCACTCTGAATGACATTTGTGTAATTACTGCAAAGAAAAGCGTTTTAACTTTAATTCATTTTTGAATAAAAGTTATTTCCAGTACCAAGTTATTTTTCATTTATTAATTGCGGTAAACTGGAATCAATATTCAATTACGTAAAACAGGTAGGTATTAGACGGTTTATCAAAAGCCATTAATTTTCGATGATCACTGAATGACTTTTTATTTCGACACTATCTTTCCCTCGTCTTCGCCCGTGTAAATGATACCTATTTTGTTAGCTTTCCATCAGGGGCATCGCCCGCGTAGTCTGTAGGGAACTATTTAGTGGCATAAAATGGAGCTGTTATGATATGAAATTTTCCTAAGCAAATATGGTTATAAATCGCCATCTACAGATATTTATAATACAGCTTGTTTTTGAAAATTAAAAAGAAGATGGAATTAGTGGTGGTATTTAACCCATAACAAGTATAAAATAATCAAATTGTTCTTAACATATATACACTTTTGCAGTGCTATTAATAAATAACGTTTAGTGTCATTGTAAAGGACATCGCCGAAAATGGCTTCAATAACATTAAATATTAATACTATATTAATAATTACTAATTTATTTATTAAATTGGAATCAAATATTTATTTGACACGGACAAGCGATCCAAAATTAATATTTAAAAGTACTTTAACAGTAACATTTTTATTCGCAAATATTCACATTCAATATACTTAAATTCTATTGAGTCAGATGGATGTAATTTACACGTCAAATCAAGAAGATCATTTATTTTTATTAGATAACCTTTAAATCATCGAACACAAAAACATTAAATTGACCGAAAATAAACTTAAATTTACTAAAAGCGCCATCTCTTGGTGATTTTCCAACTAAAACATAAGGACATAAAAACTGAATATTATACAAACTAAATTCATTAACTGTTGATAATTCACTCTTGTTTATTCAAAGATTGATATTCATATGAAATATCCTAAATACTACTTTGTTTCTATTACATAACCTTTATATTTCTCATAAACATATTAACATCATGTCATTTATGTGTTTAAGGCGCCATCTTTTGATGTAAACCATCAAAAAGCTATAGGTTTTCTAATTTTAAGCTTATCAATAGGTATATTATTTAACTATTAGAATTATTTATTTGTCTATTGATTGACTTAGAAACTTTTACAAACCACAACGAAAAACCGACTTTCTTAAAGTTGAGTTTTTTTGCTTCGACAATATAGACATCAATATCATATCATGTACTTAGAGTGCCATCTCTTGATGGTTTTCCAAACAAATTATAACCTCAAAATGAATTATATTGGGTTGGCACAAAAGTAATGAGTACACTAGAAAAATCTATAACATTTCCTTTTTAAAATCAATTTTTTCGATAATCCGGATCCGGATGCTACCACTCGTGAATTAGCGGAAGCACTTAAATGCAGTCACCACGCCGTGGAACACCATCTGCATGAGCTTGGTTATCGAAAAGTTTTGGCTCGGTGGGTACCGCACATCCTTACAGACGCCAGTCGTGCAGTCCGTGTCGCTATCTGTCAGTCACTTTTGCTGCGACCCCGACGTAAAGAGTTTTTGTCAGATCTGGTTACTGGAGATGAATCATGGATTTATTACGAGAACGATACACGTCGTGCTTTTTGGCTGCCTCGAGAAGAAACGCCACCAACTCAACCGAAGCCGAGTCAAAAGAACCGCCGAAAAATTCTGCTATCCTGTTTCTGGGATGCGCAAGGCATACTGTTTATGACCTATTACATAATGAAATTATAAACACTGACAAATATTCAAGCCAGCTTACCAAATTATCTGCCGCTATCAAGAAAAAACGACGAAGACGAGTCAATGTAGTTTTACTGCACGATAACGCTCGACCTCACGTCGCATCTGTGGTTCGCCGGCAGTTGGAGAACTTGGGCTGGGAGACGATACCCCATCCACCTTATTCCCCAGACCTCGCCCCATCAGACTATCATTTGTTTAGAGCCCTGAAACAGCATTTGCGGGGTAAACAATTTAATGATTCCTCTGACGTAGAGGCGGAGTTGAACAACTTTTTCGAGGCACAGCCATCAGAGTTCTGGGCAAAAGGCATCCAAACTTTTCCGGATCGTTGGCAAGAAGTCTTAGATACTAATGGTAATTACATCATTGACTAAACTTTTTTTATTGTAATAATAATAAAAAAGTAAAAACTTAAACCAAGTGTCTCATTACTTTTGTGCCAACCCGATATTTTGCGTGATAATAAGTTCTAAAACTCGGTCGCGGTATAATAAATACATAATGAGAATTAGTTAGTGACACACAATAAAATAAGTATTTTCCTATATTTTTTTGGCTCTGGGGCCACCAATGTATGGACGTTGAGCAATGTCCTTTACGCTAAAATTGCAATTTTAGTATTACTCCAGATTCATATTATACGTAGAAGAAGCAAACCTAGGAGTAAATATTACTCCTGTAGAACCTCCTACTAGGTTAATCTTTGCTTAGTCTCTGTTTAATAAGTAAATTTACTCCAATGCTAAACCTTGTTTGTTAATAACAGCGTTGAACTTTTAAACCTCGTTGTGGCTAATGCACAATTAATAAAAAAAAAACAGTGTTGAAGTATACTTGACGCGTTTAGGTCTACTCCATGATGTGTTATTATGATGGAGTTTGGAATGTAATGAATTTAATAGATTTTAAATGTAAATATTTATCAACTACAATTTGCTGCGAGCTTTACTTAGTATTCCCTATCAATACGAACATTGGTAGAATTTCTTTGGAAATGGAACAAGCCTAATATTTGAAAAAATAGCGATGTAATGCTAACTTATTAATACAACAGTATGAAAATTTTTGTACCTATCAAGATATCGGCTAAAAATATAAACTTATTATTTATTGATACAGAAGTATTTATATGATATTACAATAAAAAAGGGTAGATAGGTCATATCATTACTAATGGTACTAATACAATGTCAAAAATTGTCCCCAGATTATACATATAAACAGGCATATGGCATGATACTAGGGTTCGAACGATACTTTCGATACCGAGTAGGTATCGATACTTTCAAAAGCGAAACTCGATACTAAGTACTCGATATTACAAAAAGGTAAATACTCGCAAGTACTCATCAAAATTGCTGGTATCGAGTATTCTTGCTAAAGAATATATACTATAGGCATTTGCATTTGACGTTTCAACTTAAATCTTATACTTTTACTCTTTGGTTTTTATTTTTATTTTTTTACCCTGTTGGCTGCCATAAAAATAATTTATGACTGAATTGTATGGAAGTATTGGATCGGTATTTTTTTGTTATTTTTTTTCTTTTTTCTCTTCTTCAATTTACTTTGAAATGGAAAGGCAAAGGCAATTGATTTTTTTAATAAACTATATTTTCGTTATAGACATTTTTTTTTTCTTACGTTCGTCCGTTATCATCTGATATAGCATTGTTACCAAAACCTTCTCTTTTTGGGAGACCGTACCCTTTGATGCTTTTTCCGGCAAATACGACATCTAACATTATTCTGACAGCTCTTAGCAAAGTGATTACGACCCATGCAACAAAAACATACATTGTTGTTTAAAACAAAGTTACGCCGCCACTCTACAGTCTCATTTAAAAAACCCCTACAAAAATCAAGTTTAAGTTCTTCTGAACAAAACTGACAAACCACTGTTGCTATATGTAAAGATTTCATTTTATCAATTGGCATTTTATGAAATTGATTTTTATACCCTGTTTTATGCCCAGATTCTAAAAATTCTACTGATCCTGCATGTCAACGGCGGATGTCGAGCTAGGTGTTATGTTGATTCGTACGGTGGGTATGTGTTTTTTTTATTCTAAACAATAATATTGTCAATAACAGATTGACTTTCTACTTAACCTTCTCTAGAAATAAGTTTTATTGAAATACAGCGTGTTTGGTAATACCTGTATAATCCCAAATATGGCACTTACGGTATGATGAATAGAACCCAGAAAAATGATCACTAAGTCTGAAACCCAGCACATGACCTTAGATATTTAGCTTTTTTTCTTCGAAGTAAAACTGTACGCTGACCCTAAAAACAGCTGTTGTGTTGTATTTGGTCATCGACTCCATTTACCAAATTAGTTAAAAAAAAAACAGAAGTTAAATAAATCTAAAGATAAATGCCTAGACTAAATATGCATCCGAGAGTAATTTATTATTTCAAAAACAAAGAAAAAGGTAAAATAAAAGAACTCCAATCTTGTGATAAACGGTGTTTCAAAAACTATTATTAAGAAAACTTCTCTAATAATACAGTCAAAATGAAAAAAACATTGCAAAATATTTTGATTGAACTTAGATAATTGCACTATTGCTCACATTAGTCTATGCAAGAAGGAGCGACAGAGACATAAAATCTATACTATTTAGAAACTCGGGTTTCTGATATGTCAGTAAGGTTCTGTAGATTAATTGCTTTGAAATTTTGTTATTTATTTTATAAAGCAGTGTTATTTTCACGAAACAATAAAATACGCACTTATACAATGATATTAATAATCTAAATATCTCGCTTATTCTTAGTTTAAATGATAATTAAATAAAGGTTAGTTGTAATGGAAAGGTCTAATAATATAATATTTCTTTTCTTTTCCAATTTCATCAATATTTTTTTTTTGCCTTATAATTTTATTAATGATTTGGTCTTAAATTAGGTAAATACTTTTAATATTATGGCCTTTTTTCTTTTGTAACCGTGAAAAGCTTAAATAAAATTGTAATAATAAGTAAACAGCCTATTATCAATTTCGTCAGTAAAAAAATAGTATAATAAGTTATTTTGAAATTTCATTGTTTCATTTAAAAAAAAATAACGATTTTTTGTGAGGTACGTTACTTAACACGGAATTTGATGACGCGGAACCCTAAAGCGGTGCACTTTTGATTTAGGTACATTGGTGTTCGAGTTGCCTATGTAGTTTGAGTGATTTTGAAATTTAAAGGTTATAATTTTACGTTTCAAAATAACTGTACGTGTCCTACGTACAGTTATTCTATTGCTACTGATCTTGCATGTCGACGACGGACGTCGAGCCATGTGTTAAGTTAATTCGTACAGTGGGTATGTGCTTGAATTCGGATGAAAATTATTAGCAACCAATAAGTTGGCTCATCACCAGATTTGACACTTTTCTGAAAACTATTTTCAATCGTTGTTTGCTACATTATAAATACACTGTCATAATATTTCATTGGAATCTTTTCTATTTTTGGTGATAATAATTGTTAAAATTTAAATAGCCAAAAGCGCGCGAAAGGTCACAGGCCAGTAAATATGTCAAATCGATAAGTAACAACTGTCTTTAGAGTAAATTAGGGATGATCGATATTGGAAAAACATCGATATTGACATCGAAGTCAACATTCGATAAAAACCATCGATGTTCCCCAAACATCGATTGCGTTGCTGTTAAAGGAATTGACCAGCTTTAGAAAAAAGTCTCTCTGAAGCCGTGGAAGTCGCTGTGCAACATAAATATATTAATGCAATCTTTTTTAATGTGGGGTAGTTGGATTCTACTCCTTAACATAAAAGTAATGGAAAAAGACAAGTGTCATAAAAAATCACGCGGGAATTTCACGGCCCAACGAGAGAACGAGCCCAACGAGCATAAAGTAACTTTTTTTTTATATACATAAATGACCTTTTTCCGTTTTACACAGAAATTTTGCGGGATAGTGAGAAACGGTTTTTAATAGTTTTCTTCCTCCCATGTTCTAAAAGTACAACACAAAGCAAACGTTACAAATTGTACCAATAAATTAAATAAAAAATATGCAATAAATATATGATAGTGCCATGTGGATTATAGTGTATTGTTATATTTTTTAATATGCTTACAAGACGCAAAAAGATAAGTATGTTAGAAATAGACATGATAGTATTAAGGTTAATGGGACGGGGGGTTTTAGATGGAAGTTCCTCATTTGAAATACGTTGTATCAGACAATTGAAGAGGATGGGATCTGTAGTATTAATATGTTGTCTATTGTTCATTTGACTTTGTCAATATGAATTCAGTATATGTCTAATGTAACTAATATT